TTTGACATTTATTTTATTTTGCTTGACTCAAGTTATTTTTCTTTTAAACTCATAGTTTTGCTGTATTCTGAGAAAGTGTTGCTTTATCTTTATGATACAAAACTAATCCCATACACCAGGCCCCTTCATAAAGTTTTATCTATTGGACTTGTCTGGCTCTTGCTCATCGTCTGTGCTTGCTGGGGCAACACAGGACTGGTGAGGAGGGGGGGGGGGGCGGGGGCTGTGGGTCAGTGGGCATCTGAGGATCAGGAAGGGAGAGCCCTCCACACTATAGTCCACACACACTCTGCACAGGGTCAGTGTCTGAGTGTGGGACATGGGGCACTTGCGCTCTCCCCGTGCTCCTTAGGGACTTGGGAGAGGTGATGCACAGTGAGCCCATACAGGGCTGGGGACTCTCTCCATCTGCCTAGTGTGTTTTCCGAGCACACTTTTCGCGAGGTAATCGCGTCGGAGTGTGCTCTGTCAGCCGCGGCCCAGACTTCTCCCAACCGAGGTAAAGGAGGGTGCGGTGCATCGGCTGCTAACCAGAAAGCCAGTCAGGGGCAGTGGGGTGGAACGGTCTTGTTGGACGAGAGCGCGTGTATACATCGGGGCTCCGCCCACTGTACCCATAGAGTCCAGTAGAGGGCAGTGAGAGATATAACGAGGGGTTACGTATGGTAACCCTTGTTATATAAGCACAGGCAGAGCCCTCTACTGTCGGTCCTATGCCGCTCGCTGAAGAGAGGTGTAGGATGACAGTCAGGAGGCGAGGCCTCCTTTTATACGGTGAGATGCGCGTGCGTTCAGGTAGGCCCGCCCCGGGGCCGGCAACGTTTATAGAAGTCTCAGTGGATGAATGCTTGCATGATATGATCAAGGGGTAGTACCCATAGCGTCCAGTAGAGGGCTCCGCCTGTGCTTATATAACAAGGGTTACTATACGTAACCCCTCGTTTTCTTTACTCATGAACTACTGAAGTGAAGGTACTGAGTTCAATACTGACTTGTGGTACAGCAGCAGACAGAAGGGTCAGGTCTTTGCTGGTTGGTTCTCAAAGAAGTGAACTAAAGACCAATGGCTTCCTAGGAAAAAGTAAAGTGATATTAAGCCAACAATCGTATAATAATTAAGAGGCAAACAGTAGAATGAAGTCATGCAAAGGAAGTGCTCAGCTGAAAAGATGCAAAACACCTGTGTGGTGCTTTAATGTCAAATAACAAATGTCCGTCATTCTGTACAAAAAGAAACATCAGTGGATGGTCAAGAAAAGTCAATGTGATTACAAATCTTAACTCTAATGTTCTTGAAACATTGTCCCACTCGTTCAGCTTCTTTTTCACTTCTTAGGATCGCACATTAAGTTCACATCGGACAGTCTCCTCATACCTTCACTGATATTGCGTCGTTTTGTTCTGAAAGAATGCAGCACCACTCTCCGTCTCAAGAGTTCATAGTAAACAGAAAACAGAGAGGACGAGTTCAGTTTGTTTCTGTTATACAATGCAGAGATGCCTTCCTCTTCCTGAAGGAATGCTTGAAATAAAGAAACTGTGAATAAAATAAACTGCATTTTAAAGACAAGCTCACAGACACAAATAAACCCATAGACATAACACTGATTGTTTTGGCAGTGAACTTGATTCTGAGGCAATGGAGTCTGGAAAACTTCTCTAAAAAAGTTTGGCAACACTCAGTTTCCTTGGAAAGAACCGATTATGAAGAAAAATATAGGCAAATTATTGTAGCTTGCTATGTTGAAATATGAATGAAGGATCCATTTAAAACCAAGTTCATATTTAGTAATATTATTACATTTGGAAATATATTATGTATTATTTGCAAGCCATTATATTTATTGGAATTAAATAACTGGATGCATCATTTGGAAGGTAACAAATAATCCTTATTTCCAGGAAGCTTCAAAGACCCTCACATTTAACCAACTAACAAATGGATTAAGTTTGAACCGAATAAGAAATCCCACGTTCTTTTTCTTCACTTAAATCATTAAAATGTACAGATGAAGCTGCCAACCTTTTTATGTTGGACTGTACCTTTAAAAAGTCAGAACCAGCAAAGTGGATGCAGGAAATCCTCCCAGAATCCACTGCCTCAAAAATATCCACCATCATAACCTCAACAGCCAAAGAGTGTGTAAAGCTAGAAATAAATCTGAGTAGAAAACACACCAGAGTCTCACAGATCTAAGCAATGAGAAGTATTCCGCTTCATCGGAACCAAAAACAGTATTTGCATTAACCCTAAACATGGAAACTACACATAACAGGTGTGATCCAGGTTCTACCAAAGCAACAAAGAGAGCCAAGGCTGAATTCTGTATTTGTATCATTTATCATTTTAACAAATAAGTGACTAAATGAGACAACTAAACGTCATCACGCCAAACATTAGCCTCCTTTAGCTTAGCGGTGTTTACATGAAGTAATGTGACCGTAATGTAGCCTAACATTAGGTTTTACTTCTGGTAATCGCGATATGTGGGGATTATCCTGCTGAACAGAACAGTTCTGTCCTACCCTGGTAAACTTTGAGGTTGCTTCCTCTTGAAGCTGCTAGTAAGGCTTAAGAGTCTCAATAATAACACATTTTGTTTGGCAGGATAATCTGCACATTTGTTGTCGTAGTACAAAACGTGAAAATCTCTCAAACTTGTGATGGGTACCCAACCAAAAATGTATTCATAAATGCATTGACTTTGATATGAGGAAGCCCGGAAGCGCTAAAACGCTAACTTATGTCCGGGTTTAGGACTCATTCCTGCCCATTATTTACAATTAATATCGTAATTCCAGCTACCAAGTATTGCCACACTGAAACAGCCCCAGTTGTCAGGTTTTAAGCTTCGGGAAAGTTTGTCAGGAGTTTAAAATCTCTGGAGTTGGAATGATCAACTTCTGTCTCTTAAAGTTCATAAGGTCTGCCGTTTGTCCGCCGCTAGAAGGTGCATCCTTAAACCTCCTTGTCACACAAGTAAAGTCCACTTCATGCCAAAAATACTGCAGATAATACCCATGAAAAAAAACAAGAAAATGTGGAATATGATGCAAAGGAAAATTAAAATTAAACTATTTGTGCTGGTGCACGTTAACCAGGTGCGCAATTGTAACCACTTTTTTTTCGAATCATATGTGTGCATAAACATAAATACTAATACTTCATCTTTAGTGGAGTTCAGAGCAACTTTGCTTTCTGTTTAGAAAACATTTGACACCTTTTAGTTTAAGAAAACCAATGTAACCTTAAATGTGAAGAAATTCAAAATGTATGACATTTTTTTTTTTTGCTGATGTGAGATTTCTACAGGACGCTGATTAATACTCCAATTTTTTTCAGTCCTTCAATAAAAGCAATTGCTTCAGTATCATTAAAACACATTATTATGTTCTTCTTATTCATTTGTAGTGATTTAACGCATTTGAACAAGAAAACAAACAGCAACAGCTTTGTTTGTCTTAAACTGTAGAAAAAACATCAAGAGTCAAACATAGGAAGCAAAGAACATGAGAAACATATGGTAATCAAACTGAAACAAATAATTAACTTTAAACTGTTCATAAGAGTGTGAAAGTGAAATAATCCTAACTCAAACAGTTTCTTGGAGTGACAAGATCTATAAAAAGATTGTCAGTGGACCTTGAGTAAAGGTTTTTTTATTCAAAAAGTTGCCTGAAACCTTTTTAAGGAATTATTTAGTATATAATCAAGTATGTTTGAGGAAGTAATGTTGGGGGATTATGGGTAAAAGAGAACAAATGCTGTTTACCCAGATTTAAGATGAACATTTAATGGTCTTCATCGAAAAGTCACCTTCACTAATTTACTTTTAAGTCCAAGTGAAATGAAATATATTGATTTCATTTTATCGGTGATAAATTACCAAAAGACCAATTAATTTCCTAATCGGCGTGTAGTTGCAATATAACAGATATATAGTGTATAAAGTGTAAAACGGACTTCAGCTAATCAGCATCCTGAACACGTCGCCCAGTCTAAGAGCAGTCGGATTCTCTCACCACCCACATTTTCTTTTCCTAAATCCTGATGAATTCTCCTTCTTATTCTTATTCTTTCCTTGACCAGTGACATTTCTCGGTTAGGAGTGGTGAGGAAAACAAATAGGACCTCATTTTTTAACAAGTTGACTAGTGTCTTAGCTGTGGAATACATCCAAACTTTTTTTAGAATTGTATTATTTCATGCAATTTCTAAATGGATTTATAGACGTTTATCCTTCAATGGACATTAAAGATATATGTGCTATTGTTGGAAACGGTAAGTTCTGCTGATTCCTGCCCTGTTTGTTAGTGAAAGTGTTCAGTATACGTGTTCAATTGTGATGAAAAATTAAAAATGACACCCTTCTTTAGGTTACTCACGATACATTTCTCATGTTGGCTGCCTCTCTCTGTGTACTCTGTGCTGTGTTTTGTTTGCTATGGGCTCTCTGTCCTTCAGGGGGCACTGGTTAGTTAAACATTACTGGTTTTGCTCTTGCCCCGGGCCCCCCCCCCTCCTGCTGGGCTGCCTTTACTCTCTGACTTCCTGCCGGGTGAGTTCTGACAGGTGGAGCCTGGCTGACTGTTGTTGTTGTTGTGGTTTGTGTTTCCGCTCAGAGTCTCCATGATGGAGCGGAACGCCCCGAACGACCGCTTGCTTTCAGAGCTTCCTGTTGGAGTCCTCTCCTTCCCATGATGCCCTTTGGTCTGCTCTGCCTCCTGAGTGGCGCTCTTGTGCACCTGCTCGTCGAAGGTGACCCTCAGTTTGAGGTTTTGAGACGTCTTCCTGCGAGACGAAGGCGACTTCAGGGCGCTCTTGGGGCTGGTGGCAACCTTCTGCCCGTTAGCGCCGTCGTGGAGGTCGGCGGGAGCGTCTGGAGTTTTACCGTCGGCCGCCTCGGGGTCGCTGGAGGTGGGGGAGGGGTTGACTCCGACGCTATCCGCTGACTTGGACCCGCTGAGAGTAAACGCCAGCTTCCTCTCAGCTGTGGAAGAGAAAGACATGGAGGAGGGGAGGGGCTTCCTATTCATCAGGGTAAGTTGGGTTGGCGCTGGCTCCTCCTCTGTGATTGGCAGGTGGGACGGCCTATCGGGTCGCAGTGTGTTTGAGGCAGAGGCGTCTTGAGTTTTACCTTCCTCTGGTGGATAACCGTCTGAATCTGATTCGCTCAGAGAGCGCTGCATGATCTGCTTGAGTCTGGCTAGTTTGAGCTCTCTCCTCTCCACGAGCCCCGGCCTGCGGGCCCCAGGGGCCACGGGGCCCCCCGCCGGAGGCAGCCTCTCCCTGGGACCCAGCGTGTCCTTCCCCAGCAGCTGCCGCAGCACAGGGTCTGGACCCACCCCTCCCTGACGAACCAACCAACCGTCACCTGGAGTCCCCTCTGCTGTCAGCATCATCTCCGGCCACGCCTCCACTGAGGGCTGATGGGAGCTGGAGTCCAGAGAGGGAGACAAATAAATGTACTTTATTTATTTTTTGTATGTGTAAGTTAAAGGTAATGCCTTTGATTGTTATTATTATTAAAACTAATACAAAGAACAAAACCCTCAATACTGCTTATACTATTATTGGTTTTGTGAATGAGCATTATATCAGAACCTGATACGAAGCGTGTACGAATGTCTTTGAATGTGTTTGAATGGGTAAATATTGGGATGTCAGAAGAATAGAAAGGCACTAATAAAATGCATATCCACATTTTCATTCACCTGTATCGAGCCCTATTGCTGGTGCAGATTGTGTATTTAAGTTGCTTCACCTAACAAAACTGTAAATGCTGCTGCGATTATTTGTTTTTAATCTTAAACTCTGATTAGAAGTTCTTGTTAGCGTCGTGACTCCCCAGTCTCTGCTGTGCTTACTTGTCAGTCTATTGACATCAGTAAGGTGCAGTTGATGATGTTGGATCCATTTCTGACATTTTTAGGATTAAAACAATCTGTTTTAAACAGGAAGTTGCCTTATCCTAATAATGTCAGAAATTGATTCAACAGCCTCAATAACCTCCAAAACGACACCAAATGTTTTTCCAATTGTCCATATTATCAAGGTGTATTTATATATGCTAAATATGCAACTTATGCTAATTTTGCTAATTGCCCAACATACAGGACTGTCTCAGAAAATTAGAATATTGTGATAAAGTTCTTTATTTTCTGTAATGCAATTAAAAAAACAAAAATGTCATACATTCTGGATTCATTACAAATCAACTGAAATATTGCAAGCCTTTTATTATTTTAATATTGCTGATTATGGCATACAGCTTAAGAAAACTCAAAAATCCTATCTCAAAAAATTAGAATAGTTCCTCAGACCAAGTAAAAAAAAAAGATTTATAACAGCAAAACACAATCAAACATTTGAAAATGTCCATTAATGCACTCAGTACTTGGTTGGGAATCCTTTTGCACGGATTACTGCATCAATGCGGCGTGGCATGGAGGCAATCAGCCTGTGGCATTGCTGAGGTGTTATGGATGCCCAGGATGCTTCAATAGCGGCCTTTAGCTCATTAGCATTGTTGGGTCTGGTGTCTTTCAGCTTCTTCTTCACAATACCCCACATATTCTCTATGGGGTTCAGGTCAGGGGAATTTGCAGGCCAATCGAGGACAGTAATGCCATGGTCAGTACACCACTTACTGGTGGTTTTGGCACT